CGATTTCATTAATTTAAATTTAAAAAAAGTTGCCAATGGGTCTTAATTTTGATTAAAAAAATATCTTTTAAACAAAACAAAAAATGACCACTTCTGTACCAAAAAGGGCAGCTCTCTGCTGTACTTTGCAGTTAATATTAATTCCTGCTCACCCATTCATCCAACCATATAAGCATTTTTTAATAAAAAAAATATAGCATCCAGAAGCCCTATGCCAAAGTTTAATACAAAATCAGATTACGCAAGTAGAAAACTTTTGTATCTCTTTTTTTTCTATTAAAAAATGCTATAGTTGTATCTAGTGATGTAGAGTGGGGAACGTTTCCTTCGTGCTGTGGCGAATATTCGCGAACGTTCGCGCACAATTAAATCGTTCGTGCGCGCATGATAGATCGTTCTTTCGTGTCCAAACGATTTATCGTGCGCGAACGTTCTCTAGAGAATTTTAAGCACGATTCTGGCCAATCGGCGCGTTTCATCCGCGTGACCGCGTGTATTGCACATAATAGAGCCCTGGTAATATCTTCAAATAGTTAACAAACATGCAAAAACTACTGTCCGCAACGGTATCACAAACCGCCGGTCTCTTTTGTGGCGATGCCGACCGTAGTTTTTGCATGTATTTCTATGCGGCTGTTGCGTTTTAAAAATATTTTGACTATTTTGATTTTGATTCAGTTAACACGTTCAATTCGTTGCGTAAAGGTCACCCGAGGGTCAGTGTGTGTGATTAGAGAGATTGGGTAGTGTTATTTTTTTTTGTTTTCCGCGGGAAACTTAAATATTTGATTTATTAAATATGCCCAGAAGAAAATGCGAGGCATTTGATTTTGTTTTATAAAAAGTTTTTTGTTAAGTTACCTAAATTCTTACATGATGTTTCTACATCACGATACTTTGTATGCTACTTAAGATGTTACTTAAAATTTTGCTATTTTTTACTTAATAAAGTTAGAAGTAATTATTTTATTATTTACAACTCAGAATATTAATACAGTGTAATTTTTCTTAAGAAGCGTTAGGAGAATTTTGAGCATTTTTAGCATTTTGAGAATTTTGAGCATTTTCGGAAAAAACAGAAAAAGTAAGTTTTTGAATACTTTATCACACCCTAAACATAAATTCTCGTTTTTTTTTCGTTTATGCTCGTTTATTCTCGTTCATGCTCGTTTATTCTCGTTCATGCTCGTTTGTGCTCGGGGAACGTTCTTCTAAATAAAATATGTGCTCGAGAATTTTACATCACTAGTTGTATCCAACCATATCTGTTACTGAAACCACATACTGCCAAAGAGGCTTCTGTCACTAATTTGACATCTCTTTTAACAGCCTGCTTCTGGCAAGGTATCTTGATAACTATTTGATTGTTTCGACCTTTACTTGATGAAACTCCATATTATTATTATATAATAATTATCTTGATAACCATTGATTTCCTTTTGGAAAATTACCTGTTTCAATTATTTTTTAATTTCTTCATCAGTTAATTGTTTTGTGATTGGAGGCTTCGTAATTCTGCACTCAATTTTCTTATGGTGTTCATTAAATACATTTTATCGTTATCTTTCAACCTGCTAAATTCTAATTGTTTTATATGTCGACGGGAGTCAAAGATTATCGTTAATATGAAATTTTCAGGGTGTCCATAAAATCCATTTTGTTGAATTACAGTGTCAAATACGGGTTTTAGTAAATACTTTGAACATTGAATTAGTTTCCAAAGGTGAAGAGTTCCAGATGTGCTTATAGGTACATTACCAAACCTTTGCTTATACTAAGATATACCCACTCTGCCAGAACTTAGACTGGAAGATGGTTTTTCCATACATACAAATCTGGTATACATACATACATATCTGGTATAAATAATTTGTATCCGTGATTTTAAATTAACATAAGGTAGCTTAACTTTGATTCTTTTATAGCACACAATTGCTCCCAAGGTTTAAGTTTGCCGATAGCACCTGAACATGATTGAGGTCATGTGGTATTTACATCCAGATATCGCACCAAATGTCGCAGTGGAAATTCGTTTTGCATGTAATTGACATATTAGCCATTGCAACAGTCGTTTAAGATGAAATTTTCTAGGACTTGACCGATGGATCGGCATCGGCATCGGCGCCGATGGTTGCAATTTTCAGCCATCGGCATCGGCCATCGGCGAAAATATATGCCGATGGTGCCGATCCAACTATTTTAGATAATAAACAAAAACTTACCACTAATTGACTACAAATATTTCCTTTCTCCCTTTTTTTATGTTTTATGTTATGTTTAAAATTCTGTTAATGCTTTTTTTAAGATTTTATTTTATTGATGGCCATCGGCATCGGCAGAAAGTTTAGTATAACAATCGGCATCGGCCCAACAGCAAAATTCAGTCATCGGTCGAGTCCTAAAATTTTCATAAATGTATTACACCAACGTGTAATCCAGTTAACGACTGTACCATCGCAGCCAACAGCAATAAGCTAGCTGGCTAGCTACCGAGCTCGGTTGTTAACAACAAAACTTCTGTCCGCCGACGGTGGACTAGTGGTTAGTGCTGCTGACTACAAGCCGAGAGGTCGTGAGTGCGAATCCCACCAGGGGTATGGCTGTTTATTTGAGTTTGTCCTATTGTGTAATAGTCCTTCGTAGGGGACTGTAAGCCCGCTCAAGCCATTCAGTTGGCTTCTGGGACTTCTTAGGAAGTAAGGGTGGAACTAAAAGAGCACTTTTGTATAAACTTTTTTTGTAATAATATTTTAAATGGCTGAAGCTATTGCCTTGTCAGTACCATTTTCTGGTGTCACATGCCCTATATAGCCCTTTATGGGCTATATAGGGCATGTCACACATTAAAATAATAAAAAATACCCCATTTAACTTTAACCATAACACAATTCCACCTGAAGAAATTTACAAATTATACCCCTTAAACCTCCATAAATCGACATAGAATAAACAGATAATTTTAAAATTATTAAAATCTTGGATAGCTGTTATATTAGTTTCATCATCGTGTGGGTTGATCCCATTCTGCAGAAATTGGCCATTTGCAAATGGCAAGTTTTAGGGGTCAAGACATTCGTCATGAAAGAAAGTATTTTTGGCGAGAAGGTTTATTTTTTTGCCGACTAGAACAATAACTATAATAAATAATAACGGAGTTAGCAATGCTGAGCAGATAACTTTGGACATGGTGTATAGCTAAATAAAAAAAATTGTTTTAGATTTTTTAAATTCATTAGTATGTTAGTTGAAGTATACGAAAAAAACAAATACAAATAAGGTGTGTATCTTTATCTACTGGAGGCCAGTAGAGACATATATGTATCTAAAATATATACATATGTTAACGATTCTGTTATATTAATTACTAAACATTGCATGAGTTACTCGAATAACATTTAATGCATTTTAAAGAGGCACTTTATTTGTTCTACCGATTATAATTACAAAAATATGCATCTGTGTTTGCGAATATCTGCTAAAATTATTTAATCCGTTTTATTATTTATTAAGTTACCACAATTTGCGATAGTCAAGTTTTTTCATTAATATTTATTAAATGTGAGCCAGACCATTAACATAAATAGCACAACAGAATGCTTCTTATAAATTTATAATACATACGTATGCTATCTTATCTTATTAAAACAATATTTTTTATTTTATATGAAAAATAATTAAATATTTGTTTATTATTGAACTTAAAATAAATTTTTTATAATTGCATCAATTTAAATAAAACTAATTAACCTGACTGCAGACAAAAATATATTATACATTAGGAAAAGTGGCAAATTGTGTTTATAGATAAGTGTATTGCAGGAATATAGAATGCAACGTCAGCGGAATCCTTGAATTAGACATCTAGAAGAGCGCGAATTGTCGCTAATTAGGCATGAAACGACAATATAATTTTTGGTCGCATGTCTACTTAAACTTTGCCATACACGGGAATTGTTTTTGTATTGAAATATATTGCTTGTTAAATATTTACCAATAAATATTGATAGCTAAGTAAGACATCCGACGTAACTTATAAGTTATAAGATATGTAAATTTTATGACCTCAGAATTTATTTTTGTAATTTTTTTAAAGGATCTTTTTTTTTACTGAAATGATTTAAACATTTATAAAGCAAGTCAAGAAATTTGCCAAACAATTTATAAACCAATTTATTAAGAAAAACTTACAATCCAAACATAATTAAATCGTTTAAATAAATTGTCTAATGTTTTCCGTTGCGTCATCAATTTGTGAACCAAGCACATATTTAGTAAATATTATTTACATTACTGCACAGCTATTACTGCCTTTTCCATTGTATACGTATGCCGGATGCATATATGCCGGCAAACCGGTTTTTGACGACTTTACTTAATATTTATTATGTGACCCCAACAAATAAAATTTCTGGATCCGCCCCTGAAATAATCAAAAACCAATATTTATAGTATGGATTTTTTTAAAAATGTCTTACGTTATTTACGCATAAGCAACTTTGCATTATGAAATGTCGATGTTAACTTAGGTCGATGTTGTCAGTTTATTTTATATCAAATTATTTTTAAAACCGTTTAGTTCTTAGAAAACACATCTTATTTTATTTGGCATTTGGCATTGCACAAATGTAGAAAGTAATAAAAAATGCAAATCGAAAGGGGATGGAATAATGATAACCCTTAGAGACATATTAAAGTTTTTAATAAAATTTAGAATTCCAATTGAATCGGTGAGACAGTACATGTACATGTCCAAAATTTTTATTTTGAAAAATCATTTTCTAAAATGCATTTTAATTATTTTACAAAATTTAATTATTATATTTTATAAAATATTTCAATATTCTTACAAAAATGCATTTTGAACTATAAACTGATTTTATGAAATAATTTGTCAAAATTTTAACTTTTGGACTTGTACTTTTCTTAATCTCACCTATTCAATTATTGTCTTACTCTTTGAAAAAAAACACCCTTTCCTAATATATTTTTATCATTTATAGGTCGATAATAAAAAATGCGTTGAATGGTACGTTACTGCTTCCAAAGGAGAATATCAGGATTTGATCAAATTAGCAATCGCTGAACCTAGACTGGCAAAGAAAAAGGTAAGTTTTCAAATATTGTAATCAAATCATATTTGTACACCGTCTGTCCCAAATCCGTCAAAACTGAGCACAAGAAATACTTTTCATATTAATTTTTCGAAATCGTCTATGGACTTTTGGACCTCAGCAATGCCGATTTTAATTTTGGGAATAGCCAGGTCGCTGGTAGCCGCAGAAAGTTTGAAGGTAAACATTATAGATGTACTATTACCGAAAATACTGACGTAAAAATTTTTATGAAATGATCATGACACACGTCTAGAGATGCAACTTGAAAAAAACGGTTCGTTTTTTATGTTTTTTTAGGTTTTTTCATTGTTTTTTTCAAATGTTTTTTTTCATATTTTAGGTTTTTTTCAAGATTAATCCCATTTGCCTAATTTTTTATGTTTCCAGTCCAGTTCATGGACTAAAATTAGCCACTAAATGAGATTTAGTAAATGTAAAGACAGTCTTGTGCTATGCTCGCGCCACCATCACCGATTTGACCAATAATATATATAATAATATTTTTGATTCAGCGCTTGATTTTTCAAAAAGCTACAAAAAGCAATTTTTTCATGATTTTTCAAATTCATGTATGAAAAAAACCATAGCAAAATCTTGTAGAACATTTATTCATTGGAGGTTAAGTCAGAACATTCCGTGGACCAAAAAAGAAAGCCAAAAACATTTCGAATTTTTTTATTACGGTATTCGTTAGGACTGAGCGTTGCACGTTTTTCAGGGCCGGATTAAGATAATTTGTTGCCCTAGGCTAATACTAAAATGACGCCTATAATAATTATTATTGGCCATGTTAGTACCTATGGTTTTAATAAATATAACACAATACATTTTAGCCGACAGGGGCGCACAGATAAGGGGAGCAAGTAGGGCACATTTTATTAACAATTATTACTTAGAAATGGCTAAAAGCCAGTGGTTGTAGCTTTTTATTTTAAAATCCTAAATTATAATTATTGATCATGCATGCAAAAACTTTTTAGCGGTGTCGCAGTTCATAAAAAAATTATTCATATTTCCGATTTTGTTATTAAAATAAAAAAGGTACTCTCTAAAAATGAATTATTTAATACTTATTAGTGGCTGCTTTTTCACTTGTACCATGATTAACCATGGAATACCATGGTATCACAAAATTTAACAGTAAATTCTTATGTAAAATTGTCCCCTGAATCCGAAAATACCGTCAAAAACTATAAAAGTGGAGCAGTTTTTGAGATATAGTCAATTACATATTAAAATTAGAAAATTGAATATATCTCACAAACTGTTCTACTTTTTTAACTTTTGACGACATTTTCGGATTCAGGGGACAATTTTACATAAGAATTGGCTGTCAAATTTTTGGAATACCATGGTATCCCATGGTTAACCAAGGTACAAGTGAAAAAGCAGCCACTAATAACTATTAAATTTGTCATTTTTGACTAATTCATTTTTAGAGAGTAGGTATTCCATGTTTAATAATTATAATTATTTAATTTAATTGATTAATTTTAATATTTAACCTACTTTAGCCTTCTGCCTGGGCGCCTATTGGCTTCGCGGCGCCCTAGGCCATTGCCTAGGTTGGCCTATAGGTTAATCCAGCACTGACGTTTTTCATCTAAAAATCTCAAAACTAGAAACTTCCAGCTTCAAATTGCTTTTTTTACGGCTCCAATACAACCATTTTTAACGAAGATAGTACTCTCTAAAAGTTATTAGTGGCTGCTTTTTCACTTGAACCATGGGTAACCATGGAATACTATGGTATACTAAAATGTAATAGCCAATTCTTAAGTAAAATTGTCCCCTGAATCCGAAAATGTCGGCAAAAGTTAAAAAAGTAGAACAGTTTTTGAGATATAGTCAATTTTACATTTAATATGGAATTGACTATATCTCAAGAACTGCTCCAATATCATAATTTTTGACGGTATTTTCGGATTCAGGGGACAATTTTACATAAGAATTGGCTATTACATTTTGGTATACCATGGTATTCTATGGTTAACCATGGTACAAGTAAAAAAGCAGCCACTAATAACTGTTAAATTAGTCATTTTTGAGTAATTCATTTTTAGAGATTAGGTGTTTTCGCGGTGCTAATCCCGAACTAGTTCAGACATCCTAGGCATGCGCATTTTAATATTTGTCATGCGCACTTTGCATTTTGAACCCCAAATTTTAAAAAGCGCATGCCTAGGATGTCCGGAATGAGTTCGGGATTAGCTCCGTGAAAATAGCTATAGTATCTTCAAGATATATATATATATATATATATATATATATATATATATATATATATATATATATGCTATTTCATTTTGAAAAATTACTCAATTTTTTAAGATTTATGTTATTTATTGACAGAATATTCTTTATTATAGCGGATTTGAAACAAAAAAAAACAAAAAAAACCGATTTTTTTCTAGGTTTTTTTCATGTTTTTCACATCTGGAAAAAACCGTTTTTTACATCTCTACACACGTCTACGACACTTATTAAGGACACCTGTTGCATACCCAAAAGCACTCTCCATCTCATTTTGACTAAATATTTTTGCATGCGGAAGGTTTGCGCTCGTTTTGCATCGCACACTTAAACGGGTTATCGAAAAGACACCAAAATGCTTAGTTTTTGAAAAAAATGGTCGTTACTCTTAACCATACTCCGTACTCTACAAATTCTCTTCTCAACTGAAATTGGCATTAAAGGTAAAATTTTTGACACCGTTGCTGATGTCCAGTTCACGACTATAGACGATTTCGAAAAATTACTATGAAGTATTTTAAAATTTTCTATGATTGTTTTTAGTCTTTAATCGACCAAAATGGATTGTATTTTGAATACATATACTTAAGAATAACTAAGGATTTTTTTGAGATCAGTCTTTGCGGATTTGGGCCATTAGCCGATAAGAATTTATAGGCCATAAATCTGAATTTGTGAAAGGTCAAAGGCGAAATAGAAGTGAAAAAGTGGTTTTAATGGATTTCGAATTTAATTTTCATATATTGATTTTATTAATACAAGCGGCGACCTAAAATTAATTATAACGCTATTTTTGGGCAGGTATTTATATTTTGATTTTTTTATTACGACCAATAAAGTAAGTCATTATAAATAAATGATTAAATAAAAAATTCTTTCAGTAACGGTCCATGAAATATCTAGAATTAAATTAATTCCGGAAACGCTGCTTTGGTAATCTGACCATTCTCACAAATAAATTTAAATTCGGTTTTGAAATATTCGTAATCTATAACAAGCATACAAGTTAACGAGCAAGATTGTATTTTAAAGTATACGAAAACAGGTGTCGATTTAATAATAAAAAGAAACATTTACTGGTCTAATTCTTTGATAAAATTTAAATATACAAGCCTCGTTTACAAAACAACGGAGATAAGAGTGACACGTTAATATTTAGGAACAACATTTCGTGAGTACTTTTCGACGATACTTATCTTGGCTTTACTCTTTGTTTAACGAAATTTAAATTAACAAAATAAACAATTTTCTCTTGAATAATTTAGCTTTATCGTTATTTTATCCTTTATTAGGGATTATATACGTTTAATAAATGAGCACCAATTAACAAATTAGACTTTTAAAGCATCATTCAGAGATTTCAATTAATCATCACCTACATGCAGTTAATTAAAATCGACCACCTTATTACAACACTTGGATATCTTTTCATCCAGAGTTTAAATGAAATAGGAGTACGGCGCCTATCCTTGGGCGAAAATATTAGGTCTAGACAAGGGTCTCTTAAACAATCGATTTGTCTGATTACGCATCAAGATTAGACCCGAAAACGTATCAATCGACGTGGTGCTGCATTTACCTGGACCACGCAGATGTCTATCTCGATGTCCTATTTAAAACAATACCCCTAAAATCCGCACCAAGAACAAAAGAAAAATCACATTTGGGTAATTTTCTAGACCTAGCAGTATTGTCTCATATGCCTTGGTATTAGAAGCAATTAGAAACTATATTTTCCCATACAGTTTTTTTAAGAAGGTTACAATCTCCAGATTTGCTTAAACTTAAGTAATACAAAATTATACTGTTCTGTCAAGATAGGGGTATGTATAACTACAGTAACTTGTATACAAAAATCGTATTTTTTTGGTTTTGGTTTATTTTTGTGGGCCAGTAAACCATTTAACTTTAGGGGTCAGTAAACCATTTTGCCCTGAGGGCAAGTAAACAATCTTGGGGACAAGTTCTTTTGTTATTGTGGTGCAATGGGGAACATACTACATAGATAGGGTAGATTTAGCAGTTTTTATTAAGCAACGAGTTTTAATTAAGGTTAGGTTTTTAAAATACCGGTTTTCTTTAGTTAAATATTTCTGTTTTTTTTAATGACATTATTCTCTCAATAATGGAAAAGACAGATATTGGGCAGTTGTCCAACGCCAAAATTGTTATCAATATTTAACGACAAGAGGCAGAGTAAGCAATATTCACGAACTTTTCAAATAATGTGGTACGAAATCTATAAGTGGCTATGTGGAAGTATTTATAAACAAAGCTTATTTGTTGGCATTGTATTTTATTGGGCCGCGTCAAAAATAATTGGAGATCAGGGGGTGGATATCCGATTTCTCTGATATTTTATTTGTTTTATATGTATGTATATATATTATTATACATCCATATAAATATATATTTAAAGTTCCAGATATATATTTTAAAGATTTAAAAAACGCAGTTTGGGTTAAGATTGCTTTGATATTTTCTATGTTTTATTTTTTTAGTATATTTTTTTTATTTATAATGGTTTAGTAGGGCTATTTAGACAAAATTAACTTCATGTAGCCTCACCCTCCTATAGAATGCCAAACAGAATTTGATTGGTCAGAGCGTCAGGCGTGCGTATTGTAAGCGCCTTCTGTTTGGCGTTCTATCCTTGTTATTTTCACGCGTCCTTCACAAACCGGTCGGACTTGGATTTGCAAGCACTGTACACCTACGGGCCGCCACTGATAGAATACTAATACTTATATCTGGTCAAA